TAACAACAATAAACAAACACATAGGGACAGAGATTGGATTGGTGGTTACCAGAGGGGAAGGGAGGAGGGAGGAGGGTGAAAGGGATAATTTGGTACATGTGTGTGGTGATGGGTTGTAATTAGTATTTGGGTGGTGAACATGATGTAATCTATGCAGAAATAGAAGTACAATGATATACACCTGAAATGTTTACAATGTTATAAACCAATGTTACTGCAATAAACAAAAAATTAAAAAAAAAAAAAAGACAACACACAATGCCTTTTTTGCCTATTAAATGGGCAAAGACTATTAAATTATAGGGGAGGGAGTGATAAAATGCATACCCTCATACACTGTATGTGGGAATAAAAATGGGCACAAACCTTCTACAGGGCAATTTGGCAATAAATATAAAGAGAGTGAAAAATGTTTATAACTTTTGACATAGTTATTCCACTTCTGAAAATTTTTCCTAAGCTAAAAAGTCAGAGATGTAGAAAGATGTTCATCACAGCATCGTCTACAACACATTATGCTTCTCAGCTCAGTTGCAATCTTGGAGATGGTAGCCTGCATTCCCAGTGGGGGACCCTGGTCCCTGGTTACAGATGGGAAAGACCAGACTTTATCCACAAATTATTCTGTATGTCTGTTCTGACCTGTCTGGGGCTACCTGAAGGACTGTTGCAAGGTGCTCATCTCTGTTTCACCTAATGCAAAACTCATACAGGGCAGAAAAGCAGCATACACTGCTTGACAAACTACCCGCAGTCACCCGGGGTGAAACACTACAGTTGAGAAATAAAATAACTGCCTAAAGTCTGGAAAGAAAAGCTAAAGAAAGTTTCTTTGGGAAATTACACCATTCAAAACCACCTGTGTCTATTGGGGAATATAGAAAGCCATGCAAGTGCCCAGGGCAAGATATATGCTCAGAAAAGATGAGAAAAGACCCTAAGCTTTCAGCTCTGGAAGATCTCTAGACTCAGCACAAACCTGGCTAAGTGTTGAAGTGCCCCCCACGGAAAACATCTGCAAAGACTAGGAGAAGTGTTTCTTTGTTCATATTTTTAAACTCATGGAGTTCAAGGAAATCTCTGTCAAAACACTAGCTGAACAAAAGCTAAAGGAACAGAGACTTCAGTGACCACACATGACAATTGATACAGTCTTTACAAAAATAGTTTAGGAAAGTCATTAAACACAGGGATTACTACAGCCTTCAAAAACCATCAAGCCCTAGAAAAGGGGAGGAATCTGATTTCCAGAGTGATGACATTATAAAATTCAATGGAACAAAATAAATAGACAGAAATCATCTCTGAAGAAGCCCAGACATTGGACTTACTGGGCAAAGATTTTAAAACAACTGTCTTAAATAAGCTCAAAGAACTAAAGTAAATCATGGACGAAGAACTCATTGAAATCAGGAACACAATGTATGAACAAAATGAGAATGTCAGTAAAGTTGATCAAAATTCTTTTTAAAGACTCTTTTAATAATTTCTATCTCTTTATTGACATTTTCATTTTGTCCAGTAAAAGTAATTATTTGGGCAAATATAAAAGCCTGTATTACTATATTTTTGGTTTTTAACTCCACTTTTTATTCCTACATGATTTAAAAGACAAATGCATAACAAATAATTATATATCTATGTTACTGGGCACGCAATGGATAAAAATGTAATTTGTGACAACAACAACATAAAAGGGGAGACAGAGTTGTAAAGTAGCAGAATTTTTGAAAGCTATTGAAGTTAAAGCATCAATTCAAACTAGAGTTATAAATTTAGGATGTTACATATAATCTCCACGGTAATATATTATGCAGTGAAGAACCCACAGCTAACATCATACTCAAGGGTGGAAGACGGAAAGCTTTCCCACTAAGATTAGGAACAAGACAAGGATGCCCACTTACACCACTGCTATTTGACATTGTACTGGACATTCTATCCAGAGCAATTACAGAAGAAAAAGAAAGAAAAGTGATCCAAATCAGAAG